GTGTGTGTGTGTGTGTGTGTGTGTGTGTGTGTGTGTGTGTGTGTGTGTGTCTTGCTTGTTGTGGTGGAGGTGTCGAGCCATATGGGGGAGTGATAGAGGAATTTTAGTCAGAAACTGTTCGGTACGTTATCCTGCCTTTTCCCTTTGTGCTGTCTTTGATCTATTTGTTTGGCTTAGTATTACAAAAAAAACAAGTACAATAATATATTACGAACTGCTTCCCCCAAGATTCAGTTCAGGCCGCCTCTTTTGTACGTGTGTGTGTGTCTCTCTCTTTTAATTTAATTTTTTTCTTCACTCTGGTGTCTGGCATTATTTAAGGTGGTCCTTACACAGGAGACCTCCCCTTCCCCATCTCTGGGTAATTTAGTAGACACTAAAATTACACCTAATGTCCCCCTCTCCTCTCTTGTGTTTCCTCTGTTCCTTTTATTAAATGTTGGTTATTGATTTTCTAAAATCAATGTCTGTTGTGGGGCTTTTTTCCTCTCTTACAAGTATCTGAAGCACGTTGCTGATCAACTGGATAACAAAAGCTTTGTGTCAAGGAGGCTTTTTTCCCCCTTATGTTAAACAGCCATTTTTTGAGAGAAAAGAGAATGAGATTTAAAGCAAGGCTTCCAGAAGTGTTCTTTTGCAGGGATGACTATATAAAGTGTTTGTTTCTTCTTGCTTTCCTCCTCCTACCCCCTTCGGGTTTTTGCCACAGATGACCAGCCTAGCCTTAGCAGTGAGGTCAGGCCAAAGCCCAGGTCTGGGGAAATAGAGGGATCCCGGCTTCCTGGGAAGCCTGGGGGGGAGGGGTGAAGGCTGGCAGAGAGGGACGTCCGTTGGGGACTTCGCAGGTGGAATGAAGTGCCAGGGAAGTGTGGAGCCATGAACGCTGCAACCGTTTCCCCTCCGCCCAGTCACTAACTTGGGAGAAGCCTCCACACTCTGAGTGGAAAGTTGAATTGCACGTTTAAAGGCATTTAGCCCAGACCCTGCACCCTTAACATCACGCCTGTCTGTCGCATACAGCTTCTCTAACTTTGACTATTACCTGTCTCTCTCTCTCTCTCTCTTTTTTTTTTCAAATAGTCTGTAGGGAAACATGCTGTAAATTGGTTACTTGTTAGTGTTTTTCATTGGATTTCATATGACTGAGCAATGTCCTGGTTTTGAGAAGCAGGTAGAAAAGCCCCCCCCCCCTTTTTCTTTTCATTTTCTTTCTCATCAAACATGTATCCAATGCCTTTCCCTTTGGGAATTGCCAGGATTTATCTGAACTGAGTGGATTTTTCTTCTTTCCTGGATTCATGGAAAAGATGTCACTTTTGAGCTCGTGTCTGCTGATAACACTAAATACGATGATGCTTATCAAAATCATATAGAAATTCCTGGAAAGGAATAATGACAGTAATAATCATAGAAGCAGAAGCTGCAAGAAAAAAAGAAGATGGTCATCCAGGAACCTAAAATGGCACTTGATATAATTTTAATGAAGTCAACAGTGTATATATAGACTAAGGCGACAATGAGATAAAACATGTAAAGCAGTGTATGTGTTTGAAAGGCTGGTCAGGAGCATGGGTTAGAAGACAACGCTGTATACAATTATTAAAAAGCAAAGGAGAAGGGGGCAGTTCGAGGAAAATAAGCATACAAAGAGAGAAACAAGGATCTAAAGATCCAATCTTCGAGATTCTCGGGCTAGCAAGATGCCTGGCAAAGGCAGTGCCAGGGCCAAGTTAACCCATAGCGGGCAGTCAGTCTCCTTTCCCCCACATGGAAAGGATGAACTCTCTTCCCAGAAAATAAGATGTGCAGAAGGAAAGGGGGAGTGTGGTGAGGGGGGAAGGAGGCAAAAAGCGAGTTGCCCGCAGACAAGAATGTGTGTCGGTTTCAAGAAAGTTCAGTCAGATGATCCTTAGTCGCCTGACTGACTTTGTAGCACTTTCACTAAAGCTGGAGAGGAGAGGGAGAACCCAGCCCCCCGTTTTCATTCCCCTGATTATGCCCCACTATCTCCACAACAGCCTTGGAGTCAGAAACGAGCACTTTGAGCGGGAGATGCCTGGCTGCCGCCCGCGCCACGGGCGCGGCCCGTTTGTAACTTGCAAAGTTTGTTGCTTTTGCCCCTGATTCGGGCAGCGGCTCCTGGGATGCTCCTGCTTCCCTCCTGCCTCCCGTGGAGCCTGGGAAGAGGGGCCTGCCTGCCCAGCCTGCCGCCTTCCAGCATCAGCCTCTGAAACATCCCACAGACACATGCACAGTGTTACAAAAATCAAATCCGGAAACTGCTTGTTTCAGAGAAGGGAATGAAGTTGTCTTTTAAAGGAAAACTGAATTAGAAGGAAGAGGGGAAAGGAAGTGGAAGAAGGAAAGAAAAGTTAAATTTGATATTTCTCCAGAGTGTCCACTAAAGTGTTGGGGACTTGAGGTGGGGGAGGGAAGTGAGGGAGCTTTTTACAAATGCCTTTGGTCTCTGACTTCCAGTGGTAAAGAAAAGGGATCAAGTTGAATGTGTTCAGGGCTTTGGATCTGAGAGGAGAAACAATCAGATGAGCAGAAATGATTATCCCTGTTCAAAATGAGCCCTCACTCCTTGCCACTTCCTTAAAGGGCGTAGAGGTGCTGGTAGTGATGCTTAGAGGCAATGAAGGACAGAGAAGTTGCTCCCGTTTCAGAGATGCTTAAATGAAAAGGAAAGGAAATGCAGCCAGCCCCTTCTTCAGGATGTGACTCTTAGCTGTCCACCCTAAGAGGTGGGTGAAGTTGGGATGGGGGACCTGAAAGTCAGAGCTCCTCAATACACACAGAGGCAGGGAAGTTTCCTTCGGATTACACTCAGTTCAGACCTGGTTATCTTTGCACATGTGGAAATCTTTGGCAGGGAGCTCTTTTCCTAAAGTTGATGATCTTACAGGGAACCTGCTTTGCTAAGCACCCAGGCAGTTTGTGTGACAGGTACCAGTTCTGAGGTTGCTCCAAAGAGACCCATCTCCATCCTTTTCCGTCTGTGGAGATCTTCTGCAAGTTTTGTCACGCTGCGTATACACGAGGCTAGGGGCTATGTATCTAGACTGATCTATTTGTTTTATTTTGGTTCGGAAAAACTAAGTCAATTGGGGGTAGAAACATGCTTTCCTTCGTAGCGGAGCCAGTAACCTACTGGCATGATGGTCCACCAGGGGTAAGGGTGGGCTAAGAATTTTAAACTTTACATTGTTTCTCTGTTGCCAAATAAAAATAATGTCACGTCTTTAAGCTTTTCTTTTCAAATAGAAATAAAGCGAAGATTAAAGTTCCCTACTAAACTGCTATGTCATATGTTTCAGATGTGTCCCTTCTTTCTTTCTTTGCTTAAAGTAAAGAAAATTCCAAGAGATTAACAAAGACCCTAATGCCATATTAAGAATATTTCTTGGGAAAAAAGTGTGTGTCTACCCTAAAGGTAGGAAAGGAGGACATTGCTAGCTCTCTAGCAGTGCCACATTTATTCCAAGATGTAGGAGATTCTTTTCCTTACAACAGTTTTTGTTATCTGCATTCTTCCAAGGCTTTTAAGGTGCATTTTCTTCTGTGTGAAAGGGAATTCTTTGTCCTTTTCCTCTCCAGCACCGTGGCTTCCCAAGGTAGACACTATTTTGTGCCTGTCACAGAGAGAGGGAGTGCAGGTTTGCAATGCTCACAGACAATTGATTGTCTGCCCTAATGTGTTTCATTTACATGTTTATAACGTCAATGGTGCTGGGGTGTCCACTGTACCATTCATTCCCGCATTCCCACAAGGGGGCAATTGTCTGAATGGCCAAGTCAGACACCTTTTTGATTGCTCTTTGGTTGTCTTTTTAGAGCAAAGAGATAAAGGAGGAAAATCTGTGATGCAGAAACACTAG